CAAAAATCTTTATTATAGCTACATAAAACTATAATAACACTCCTAGAGTGTGTAAACAAAATTAAATTTCATTATTTTACTTCAAAATAATAAGTGACCATATTCAAGGCCTTATTATTTCTCTTAGTGCATAGTTGTAGTGAAGGATTTGGTGTATTATTACATTCAAATAAAAATAAAAGCTAAAATCTCCACTGATCTTCTAGTTACTACTTTAACAAAAAAAAGTCTTGTCAGACTTTAAGGCAACTAAAACAAAACTCCTCTTTCAAACAACTAAATAACCATCATATCTGTTGATTTCTCTCCTAAATAAACTGAACTATATTATTATGTACAAAACTGAATACTGTTTTTGTACTACATTAATATTTGGACCACTATTATTGATTGCACACTCCAGTGTACCTTCTTATGTCTAATTTTGTTCACAACATATCAAGGTTATCAGTTTGGTTAATTTCAGTTGTATTTATGTCTAACTTATCTAACCAAACTACTCATTCTAGATTATAATAAATGGAGGGAATGTTTCTAATGCCTTTTTTTTAATACAAAAATGTAAGAAAATCCTTGAATAAATACAATAATCGAAACTACTGGAAACTGCATTTAAATGTTTTAACCATATAATACGATATAAAGGGCTATCATATTTCAAGTGGAATAATTGCACCTAGAATCTATGAGAAAAAGAGAAGTACTAATATTTGATTAGCAATAACTACATTAATATTCCAGTGATTGTACCAAACCTACTTCCATAATACTAAAGTGAAGATAATTTGTTTCAGCTTAAAACTGCAAAAACTTCTTGTCACATTTTTCTAATCATTTTAAGAAGAGATGGATGACTGGCGAGACATTGGTAGAGTACTCACTGTAGGAAGAAAAAATGAAGACACCAAAATGTTAACTTTCTCATTAAAAACTTTAAAAAAATCCAAGAAAATATATAGGCTTGAAACAAGTCAACACAAAAATAACAAAAATTTATGCAACAATTTTTACACCATAACACACAAAAGGTAGATCTGAATTTAAAAAATGGCATTGAAATAATTAGGTTAGCTTATACAGTCTATTTTATCTTAAGCATGAGATACAATAAAAAACATAAATGCAAAAAAATGCTTTTCAATAGGATTTTACATGTGCAGATAGCCATTACCAGTTCGAATACAATTATCTTAAAAACTACACATTCACCGACTAAAAAATGTGCTACAAATGATAAATAGTTTAAATTTTTTGTAGATATGTTTTAGGAAGAATAATAATATAGTTTTAAACTTACACAGTCCCAATCCTTGAGAAAACAAGAGTAAGTTGTGAGCAAGAATGTCCGGCTGAAAATTTATAGAAAAATTATTAAAGAAGGGAGTATTTACTATTCCGAACAAAAAAAGAATAACCCATTTGTTTGTTATGAAGTAAAGCTACACAATGGGCTATCTTTGCTGTGTCCACTATGAGTATCAAAACCAATTTTGTAGTGTTATAAGCCTGCTAAACCACCAAAAGTGCAGGCATAAGAATAACCAAAGTTAGATTGCAATAATGTAGTAATTCACAAATTTTGCTTTATGTTACAGTCTGATATATGGAATTACAAAACAAGCAATCTATTACTTTGGCTTTGCCTTTACAAGGAAAGTTATGGAATTCAAATTATATTATTTTAGATTTGCCATATAACAAAAAGTTGAATAATAATCCATACTTTAGTTTGCCACACAACAAGGTAAAAATGTTAAATAATTATTCATTACTTTAGTTTTGTCTAGCAATAAAATAAGATTATGAAAGGTAATATAATACTAATACTTTATTTTTGTCTAATAATATGAGTATAGAATTCTTATAGTAATCCATTAGTGTAGTTTGCTTTTTTTAACAAGTTAGAAAATTAAAAAAACAACTTTAGTTTGTTTTGTAAAAAGATATATAATTAAAGACTATTAATCAGCTAAATATATTTTCACAAAAAGTGACAAGTCTAAAATATTGATCCTTTACTTTAGAACTGCCTGACAAGAGGCTACAAAATGAAAATAAAAAGCCATCATTTGTCTTATAACTAGAGGTACAGGTAACAAAATTGTAATATATTACCTTAACATTGCTTTCCAGAAGTTAAGAAAGTAAAATAGTACATAAAATAATTATCTTAACTGGGCCATATAACTAAATTTTTAGGAATAAACTTAATTTCAAACACTAAAATCCTTGTTTAGTTACTTATATGTTAACTTACCCAGAGCTCTTCCACTTTCCACATGACTTACTGTTCATGTGTCAGGAGAATGCAGTTAAATCCCACTTTCCTTCCATAAGCTATATTTCTTTGTTCACAGTCATGAAGATAAAATATATTTGTCCCAGTTGTGGGGAGGTTAATGGATTGGATTCAAGAGTGCCTCATCGACTTGGCCATAATAATAGATACATATAAATGGGGGTTGGGCAGTAATAATAAAACCTGTGAGGCTATGCGCATTGTCAGGTGTTGTCATAAGTGTTGGTATAGCAGGTAAATAGGGTTAAAGCACAGAGGAATGTCTTGTACCTGCAGTGGAAGATTTTCAGAAGAAGGTACTAGTAATAACTAAAGACTGGGCATGCTTTTGGGACTAAGGTCCTCTTCATTCTACTGTAGAAAGGTTGGTCAAGTTACAAAACTGGACTATAGTAACTGGGCATCCATGGAGAATCAAAAAGACCTGGAGGGATCTAAAGATGGGCACAACAACACTATGACAAAATAATGAGAACACCAATTAAGGTTAAGGAGAAAATTAAAAACATAAGGTGATCCTCATCCTGGTTGAAGCTATGTGACATCCTATGGAGAACAGATGTCACGTCTTTGATGGATAAACAAGGATATGAACAAAAGCATCCTGTATATCCACCATCATAATCCAAAGGTCATGACAATAAGACTTCCATAGAAACCTCATGTCTTCCACTTGTAAATGGTCTCCTGGAAAAGATGAGTCAAGACAGGTCTCCAATCTCCTGATTCATTTGAAACCAAGATAGAGAAGTGTTATAAACGATTTGGACCATTCCTTTTTGAAGATTTGAGACTTCCTAATCCAGAATGTGTGTCAGGTTTTGAATATGGGCTGGCATTCTTTTACAATAGGTGTCTGACTTGTTATCGATAAATGTCAACAATAAATGGACAGCACACAATCCACTTGTTTTAAAATAACACATTCAAAACAAGTCAAACGTATGCACAAAAATTAGTATAATTATTGATTATCAAAGTTGTATCTAAAGCTTTAAATAATTCTCTTTCTTGTCAAAAATCCACACAGGCTAGTTCAGTTACTTAAACTCAATTAAAAAGGTGAATTTTTTTCTCTACTCTTTTTTTTTCTCTTATTACTGCATAATCTGCAATAGATTCACTGACATTACCCCATGGGTTACCACAGTTGTATCCAGAACTTTAAATAATTGTCTTCTTTTCATCAAAATCCACACAGGCAGATTCAATTACTTTAGAACACCCTTTGACAAGAAAAATTATTCTCCATTTATCTCTGTTATTATAATACCACTGTGAAACTCACTTTAAATATTGCCCATGATGGCTAAAATAACAATCACACAGTCTAACTTCACTTTACTAACTTAACATTTTCTGACTTCACTTACTTTAACTTCTTTAGAAATCGCCCATCATGGCTAAACTGCCAATCACCTAGTCTAGATCTGTCTAATTATCTCTCACTTGGCTTGTTTTCTTTTGACTTCCTCTCTGTATCTGCACGTATTTATAACATGCAACAGAAAAATCTAGAAATATCTAGCCCTCTAGCGACAACAATATTACAAACAATGAGATAAACTTAAAAGCTTCCTCACTTGGCTTGTTTTCTTTTGACTTCCTCTCTGTATCTGCACGTATTTATAACATGCAACAGAAAAATCTAGAAATATCTAGCCCTCTAGCGACAACAATATTACAAACAATGAGATAAACTTAAAAGCTTAGAGTAAGATGACATCAACAATATTATGAAAGCCTAGTACAACAATTAAACTGTATACACAATGAACAATTTGTTATGTAACACAACTTATCACAACTATTGCTTTTAAAATAATTAACTTTTAACACTCTTGTTATGAAAACTAAACAATCATTAAATATTAAATCACTAAACAAACTAAATAATAACTCTTAAACTAAACAGTCTTGTATATCCAACAATGTGCAAACAACTGAATTGGAAGCAGACTGAAAAAGCTTTCAAAGCCAAAGGTCCCACAGAAGAACCAATGATCAATGACAACTTCCACAACAGTCCAGATGAGAGATACAGATGGAACAGAAAAGCATCATTGAGTGGGTCAAGAATACATCACTTGCTTATATCCACGTTTGGCTACTTGAAAGAAACAAGTAAAAGTAACTGACATTTACCAAGAAGTAGAAAAGGGATTCAAGGTAAGAGAACAAGCATTACTTGCTTGTTGTCTCAGAAGGAATGATTAACAAATATAAATTGAAATGCTAAAATCTTAATCAGCTCCTGCTGGTATGCATCTCTTGAATAAGAGACTAGGGTAGATGACAATCCTGCAAAGACAAAAGATGCAAGGAAGAAGCTCTTTCAAGTTCAACTGAAAAGTTGGGATCAGGAGATGAGCACCTTGTAACAAAACACAAGGGGATAAGGTGCCAAGGAATGTAATAGCCACATGGCAATAAACATTATTATAATGAAGGAAGACTGCAAAGTAAAAATTTGATCCTGGCTAAAATAATCAAAAGAACGACAGTAGCAGATACTTAATAATTACCCTGAAGAAGAAAGTCTTAAAATGAGATTAATTCATAACATACACGGTAGAAAAGTGATGTTAGGTCTAATTAAGTAGAAAACCACATGTGAGATCCCCTTACCAAAAAAAAAAATTGATGGCCAAAACTTGAGAAACAAGATGAGCAAAAGAAGAAAACTCTACTCTATTTTACTAACATTTAGCTGATTTCTAAAAGTATCAGCAGCAACCAAATGATTCAAGAACTAAAGCATCTAACATGACATTAGTACCCTCAGGCAACTGAATTAGTTAATTTAAAATACAACACCAGAAAAAAAAGATAAATTACATCAGCTGAAGTTTCTTCAGAATTAGAGCTATCTGACAAATCCTGCTCCTCAACCAATGAAGTTAAACAGGCTTAAATAAAAGTTTTTCTGTTTTTGTTTTATCATCATCATGAGAAAATGGTGGGAGATAAAATATTAAGCATTTAAATGAATGCTAAACCTGTCAGGGACACCAGCAAACACAACAGAAATAATGGCCTGGATGTGTTGATCATCAATAATATTCAACAGTGTAATCATTGGATCTTCATGCATGCTAAAGGCACACTACTTGAGTGAGGCCTCCAAACATATGCATACAGGCAAGAGGGATATAAAACATATAAATTGTGTAAAAACAGTTTCAGATACCATCAAAATGCATCATTTTCAGAGAGTATTACAAAAACATATCAAGCGTGTGCATGCCCCAAGTTGTACCCCACAGTATTGCTTTGCCAGGTATTTCCTTTTTCCTATGAAAATAGCACACCCCTCTCCTTTATAGATTTCTGGCTATTCCCTTGAAAAAAGTTCTGACTGATATTAGTTGGAACGTTAGCTGCAGTAGTTAATGTTCACTACATAATACATAGTCAGCATGCATGTCAACAAGAAATCTGGCTTATTCCAGGAAAGCAGGGCTTACGTCTTTCTCCTCACAGACATCCAATAAATCACTTGGAAGGTGGAGAAGTGATTAATTCTGGGTAAATTGGTACAATGCTTAAAGGATATTTAGAATCTAAAATAACATAGCCGTTGACAGCATTAAAGCAATGCAACAAGAAAATGCTTTTAGTATTTGAATGGTGAGTCCACCTGATTTTAAACAGTGTTCAATCACTTTATAGCCTTGCCTTAAAACAACAGTTAGAGAAGTCATATTGTAATCCCTTAATCCAGTTCTGCCTTAAAAGAAGCCACAAGCAGGTTTCTAACAGTACTACATTATCAGAAATTTGTATAACAACAAGGGATATATAGTTTTAAAAAGTAAACCATTATTTTAACTTTGTGTCATAACAAGAGCTACAGAGTAGGAATAGTAATCCATTTCCTTAGCTTAACAAAACTCAAATAATTCTTAGTTTTGTCTTTCAAAAAGAGTTACAAAAATTAAACAATACCCACTATTTTGGCTTTTGGGAGTAAATGAAATCTTAAAGGAAACTTACAGCTTCAAACAATACATCACCAACACCATCCACCTTTAGAAGTGTGGTATGTCGTGGATCCATGGCTGCATGCATAGTATGAACTGTATGAAGATGGGAGGCCTTGGATCCAGTCACAAGCAATGAATCAACTCTGAAAAAAGTTGATAATAAAACTTTTCTAAAAATAACAGAATCAAAAGAAGAATCATTATATTATTTAACACTTCTACAATAGACACTTCACTATCCATTTGATTTTGTTAGACTACAGGATGACCCAAAAGTTTGCTGTTTGAGCTATCTTGTAATCATTTTCTATTTTCATCTTTTTCAGATTTACGTTTGTGTACATCTAAACAATAAATAAGCATGGTACACAGACTGACAAAGCACTACATTTTGGTGCTCTAAATAAAAATGTTATCCACACTGAGAAGAGGTTTTAGTGTGGATAAACTAACTTTTTGGTCATCCTGTAATTTAAAAAAAAATACTTTTTCTGTTCTATGGTATAATGCCAATCTTATGTGAAACATTTTAAAATAAGACATATGAACTTGTTATTAATGCCAATTTTACATGAAACATTTTAAGACACATGAAAATATATATTATTAATGCCAAGCTCACATAAAACATAACACAAGATGTATGAAATTGTTGAGAAAATACTTTATAGCATTGTGACAAACAGTTCAAAACAAGCTTACAAATGGTGAAAAATGTTCAGATTATACGTCTATATAGACTTTACAATTTAGTGTGAGTACAGTGTGTATGAATTATCATTTCTCAGGATTAACTACACAAACAAACTACAGTAAATATAAAAAATATAAGTTTCACTACAGCTGTATAAATACCCATAAGAACTCTATGGAAAATAGTTAATTTAAAAATATGTATCTTGACAAATTTTACTCTTAATACATAAGCATCAGTAAAAGTCAAACAAAATTACAAAGCTACAAGACAAACAGGGTTAAAAACTACAACATAAACAGGGTTATGAGGCTACAAAAGTGTAATGAATAGAAAGCTAAAATCAAACAATTACAAAGTTAAAATTAAACAAGAATGTTTGAGGTTATTAATTATTTACTTGCTTTATGCTATAATGTAAATTACGCAGTCTGTTAAGAGATTTATAAAAGGTCATTGCTTTTCGAAGTTTATAAAACTCACACCACCTTTATAAATTAACGTATAAATAGCCTTTATACATCTAGAAATAATTCATATAACTTCATAAATGCAGCTAAATGTATACTGGATGTTAAAGATAGACAAAGATTAGGCCAGAATATAATTTAGTACATTATTTAGAGATGTATATCAGGTAAGATATTGATTTAAGGTTTAAAATTTGTACTACATAAAATTGTAACAAAATTTAAAACGAAATATATACTTAATACTTACTTCATTTTATCTTTCAAGATTGCTGAAATATCTGTACGGCTATAAAACACAATGATAAGTTTTTGGAAAAAATAAATAAAAGTTTGTTATTGAAATACAAGTAATTACACACAAATATTTTTGTTGCCATTACAGTAGTTACATAATGATCTTAGTACAGAGTATTCATAAAGAAACTGCAGTAACTGAATGAGGTCCTAACTGGCTTGACAGGTATTTAAAGATACGTGATTCTGTAGTTGGAAATGTGAATATTGCCACAGACTGTAGTATAAAGGCTGGAAGCAAAGTTATATAAGATAGTCAAAGTTTCCACTGCCAACTTTTTCAAGTGCCTTTATGCACTCCACAAAGTGGCCACCAGAGATAATGACTGCCTCATAATTGCATCCTTCAGGATGGCCAGATTTTGCAGGCCTTTGTAGTTCAGCTTGTCTATCAAGTAATCCCAGTCTATTACTCCAGTAGTGATAGATCAGGTGAATGATGCAACCATGACATAATGAATGTGCAACTTGTAACATGGTCACCAAAGTGTAGTCATAATTTTGCCTGCACTATACAACTGATGTTTGAGAGCATAAAATCTTGCTAAAACAGTGTTCTAGAGTTAATATCTTTGTTGCAAAGCAGAGGTTGCTGTACATTTTAACGTTTTTCACAGAAATTTGCCATGACCATCACACTGGTATGCTCTTCTCAAAAACAAGAAGACTGACTATGAAGTGACCAGTTTAATGATGTTCAGATCCTGTAGTTGTTTGTGTTGACAGCTCCAGACAAATGCAAATGTACCTCATCCACCCACAAAGTATGTCACAGCCAAGACACATCAACGTGAACCAAGTAATACTGTGCAAATGTCAAACCTTTCTTAAGATAAGAGGTTGGAAGCTCTTACAGATATCCAATCCAATATGGTTACAGTATCAGAGTGTACATTGTTTACTAAACCATGGTTTAGGAGAAATCCTAACTACTACCATTGCAGAAATACTTGAATTATATGGTTTATCCAGAAGAAATTTTGCACTGCTCTATTCACTTCCTCTGCTACTTCCACAGAGCTTTACTGGCTAGCTGCTTCTTTACTTATCATAATTCCTTTTTGTTTGTTCAAAGTGTTTGATGATGGTCATCACCATCTGCACCTTGTGATTGGCATAGGTTGGTCTGAACTCTAGCACTTGGTCTGACTGTTCATCTGGTTGTAACTCTGCATTTTTCACATCACAACCTATCTACTCAGGAAAATATTCAACTACAGCACCACCTATTTCAAAACAGAGGTATTGTGGTGTCTTGTATTAAAATCTTAAATTTCATAGCAAAGTATAAAGTTGTTCTAGAGTTATTTATAGTTTTTATTTACTGCAGTTATTTTACAAACACACTGTACTACACTAGTAAGTTCACTTTTCTGTATATATATTTTACTTTACGTAAACAGTTTAACTTTTAGTTATGAAAAATCGGTGTGGAAATTTTAGTTTGGTACTATAAGGTAGATATACACACACACAAAATGTTTGTTATACAGTCAAATTTTGATAGAAAAATATATATTTATACATACTGCCTAAAACAAGAATTTAAATGTTTCCAATGAAACAGTACTGCTTTACTATATAATAACAAAACACACAGTCTTTCCCATACTCTGGTAATACCATCAAGTCTGCAAACATCCAAAAGCCAGTACTATATAAATGACAAACACTATTGTTCAAAAGACTTCTAACTACTTCCAGGTTTCTATAAAGAAACGAGAGACAGGAAACATTGTTTTTAATGTCAACTCCTGTTTAACTGTTGGATTATATCCATCATAATTAAAGAAAAACTTCAGTTGTTTACCACTGTACTAATGTGTAAGATGTACTAAACTCAAAAACCCCAAGATCTTGAATTCCAAAGACCTAATTCAGCAGCTGTTCCTATGCTAATAATTACCTACTTTTGCTTTCATGAAATGTCCTTTTTTTTTCAAAACAAGTTGTGAAATGACAGATTACTGTTTAAAAACTGTGATATGCACTAAGTTTGACTTTCAAACAAGCTATAGATAAGATTTTCAGCCTGAAGTTCTATTTGTTCAGCAGGTTGATGTTAGACTAAATGTTTAATAACCGTTACAAACATTTCTTTGAGTGAGATATGAAAACATTAGTGATGTGAAATATGGGGTCCAATGTCAAATCATTTTTATTACATTCAAAATCACTCAGGTTTTCAAAACTAAAAATGACCAATTAAAATATTCAAGTTAAAGCTGATGTTACACAGGCTGATTTAGACAGTCTTTCGCATACTCTGATAATACCATCAAGTCTGTAAACATCCAAAAGCCAGTCCTGTATAAATGACAAATACTATTTCTTTTTTCAATTATGTAATCTCTCATTTTCTACTATGAAAATTTTTTTTTCATACATATGAATAACTTAAACTTCACATAACTAATTTTTATGACTTAAACTATAGTATTTCAAAATTCATTTTATTTATATTTTTAGCACATGTAATTATGATGTTGATCTTCACAACTAATTTCCAGTTAAGTTAAACCAAATTATTTATTTTCATAATTAAAAACCTTTAAAAACAATATTAACATGTGAATAATGAAAGAACAAGCAACAAGTCAAATCATTACAAGGTATCTCAAGACAGGAAAAATGTTCTATGTGTGTGGACCATACTTACGTTTTTGCCAAAGAAATACAGCAAATACAGAAATTTAATTTCTCAAGTAAAGAATGATTTCCCAAAAATGTTGGAAAATCATGAGAAAATTAAAATATTTTTAGTATATGAATATCAAACTTGCAATACAACCAACAACTAAGTTGGGTCAGATTCCTCTCCTATTTTATCATCCAACAAAATCACTTGCCACTTCAAATTCACCCTGTTTTTCTTTTTCTGCTAAAATCTTTGCTTTCTCTCTCTCTCTCACATACTGTTTTTGATGCCATTCTTTTCTAACAGTACCTGTTCTTTTTATCCTTCACTTGTTTTTCTTGGAATACAGTTTTTTGTCAGGCTTTGGGCATATTATAAAGTACTTTTTAATAATTGAATAACAAAAAATTTCCCTTCATTTAATCTAACACCATCTATTGTCATTTTTAAAGAATCTAATGAAGTTTCACCAAGTAATACCCAGTCAAATGTTACCATTTTACCACTTTGTGAGAATGCACATAAGCAGTAACATGAGCAAGTGTACAAACTGCTTTCACATCCTCTTTCCACATAAGCAGTCACATAAGCAAATATAGAAACTGCTTTCACATCCTCTTTCCACATAAGCAAGCATACAAACTGCTCTTGCATCATCTTTCCACATTAGCAGTAACATAAGTTAGAATTCCTTTCACTACTTTGAGTAGTGTTTGGTACTTTATTTCTTTAAATGTTTATCAGCTTAAATACATTTTTCCAAATATGATCAATTTCCATATTATCAGTAGTAGACCAATACCACTCCCCCCGATACTTTTTTCCACTCATCAACAAATATGTCAGTAATACTTCCATAGGATAAGGACCTTATTACTTCAATTGTCCACTCTGCTTTTTTCTTCTTTGGGTCAAGACATTTTTCACTCCGCAATACTGCATTTTGCAAAAGCAATTTTTTTTATAGCTTATTGCATTGGATAGAAATTCTCATACTAAGACTAAAACTCAATATTATATCTTCTACATGTTTCACCTTGAAATACTGACCAATATCTAATGCATAACACACTTTACATGGGTACATTCCAAATTATAGGGAAAGAGCATCAGAAAACATGGCTTTAAAAGTCTCCTTTTTTTCAATCACCACACCGAGTTAAAACTGTATCTAATCTGGCTACTTTCATAGTCCACATTAATTCAACCCTTGCAGCTTGTAGTTCTGTGAATTGGTACAAACTAAATGCCAAGTTTAGCTTTATCTTTCTGAAACATGTTGATGGTGATAATGTAATAATAATGATAATTTTTTCATAAAGAATGCAATATCCTTCATAATTATTGGTTTGCTAAGTACACATAATTGAGATTTTGTAACCTTATTTTTTCATCAACAACCCACCAATTTCTATCAAACTTAGTTTTTGTAGGTGACATCACTTTGTCACCAGGCTTACCTTACCACTCTGTTTCAGGGGCATCAGTCATCCCCTCTCCAACTCAGGGAGAGGCCCAAATGGCAATTTCTATTTGACATTTCTAGTTAGGATGGATTAACACATGCATGCAAGTTATGCCAAGAGCATAGCCCCCCCCCCCAGCTGAATTAGAAGGCCCACAGGAATTATAGGATGCTATTTATTCAAGTAGTTGAAAGAAGTACTTTCTTTACTAGAGATTTGTTTTCTGAATCACAGATGTTTTATTTCCAATAACTACACTGAGATTTGAATTCAAGTTTGAGCTCATCCAGAAACTGTTCCATTTAAAGCTTAAGTTGCATTATGAATTGATATCACTAAGGGTTCATTTTAAAACCTAAAGGCTTTTTTTTTTCCAAATTGAAATTCTCATGTCACACACCTTTTGTGCTTTACAAGTACCTTAACAACACCACAGCATAGTTCCTAACATAGTACATGAACAAATGTAGTATATGTTTTAGACAAAACATACCAAATTTTGTCAGTACTAAAGAGATAAAAATAACTGAAGAAATACTTAAAGCTTTTGTAAACAGTCAAAACTTACGCAAGAAAAGATTCCACATATAGTCGCAAGTTGCGAGGATTAATTCGACTTTGAAGTTTTTTGATGTAATCTTTGATAACCTTGTCTTGTTTTCAGCTTTCTCTATTTCCTATATTAGAAAAGTTTAAAGCTTTTAGCAATTATGTATTTTTGAAATACTTGCAACAATGCTTATTTACAATATAGCTCAATTGTACATTTTTCTTTCTTTACATAATTTGTTTGATTTGAAAGTTTAAGTATTTACCAACAGTGTGGCAACATTAAAAGTTTTTACAATATGAATATATAGTAATGGAAATAATTTTAGAAACACACAAGTGACACATATACAGGAGTCACCAATAAAGTGTTAAGGCAGATAGCTAAATAATGAATTTGTTAATGGTACAAATTATTAACACAGAAAATAGAAAAGCAATTAAGTTGCACAATGAACTAGTATTTCATATATGTACCCATTGCTTTACACACAACATTTCAATTCATTTTATGCTGCTATACAATTTAACACTGTGTGATTGTGGAATATATTTCCAAAAGTCCTGTACTCTTTGACTTTCACAGTTTTTCTGTAACCTCATAAGTCTCAAGCATATTCCTGTCAGGATCACATGCAGACTAAGTCATGGTTGTGAGAATTTCACCAGCTTCTTCATCATTAAGATATTGTTTCACATATGCTTGGGACCACCATCTTGCTAGATGAATCCACCTGTACTTGTCAGTAGTCGGAGTACCATGAATTTTTTTTTGTAAATGACCAACACCACTGCTTGAGATGCAGCCCCAAATTTGTACTGATTCCTCCACCATACTTCACTGTAGACGATATATAATAACTATGATATTTTTCTCTCCATGTCAAAATTTTGTTAGTTGTTGAAGAACAATTACAATCTGTATTCATCTTTCAAGAGCACACATCTCCAACTTTGCCCACTATACTGTAAACGGTCTAATGCCAATTTCAACCTCTTGGTTTCATTACCTCTCGTCATAGGTTGTTTTGGAGCACCTTCTTATCCACTGAGATCACAATGTACTGTAATTGAATCTCAGCCTTCGATCAAAGCTACATTGTCATTGGTTTGGACACTATATTCATTGTTATACATTTGATTCTTTCCAAGTGATTCAGTATGAATGAGATGTGGTTTCTGAAGAATACTACTGCTTTTATTGTTTCATTTTGTTTATAATAAAACTTTTGGAATTAAAGAAGATAAAACAACTTGTAACAGACATGAGGTAAAATTCACACCTGTATATACACAGCAAGACTGTTGGCAAGGTCTATATTTGACCATCATTTACCTGATAAAAAATACACCCAGATACTCAGCATCATTTTCTAAACATTTCCAGTTTTTACCTCAAACAATTCTATTATTAACAATGCAGTTTCATAACTTATTCAGTCCTCCATGCAGCACCTACTGAAACATGGAGTCTTGCTACATTCTTGACTCACCAAAAGTTTGATTTCAACACGTTTTCCACGTAGTATTTCAGTCCAGAGAGCCATGACTGTATTCACACAGTATTACTGCATGTACTTTCATAGTTTTATCCTAGGGTGGAATTTTCTAATTGGTTGAATGACAACTGATTACAGCATAAACTATAAACATGACTACTCAAATGCAGTTCATTTGAACATGATAAAGAGGTGACATACCTGTAATATTTACTTTCCATACCCTTTTACCTTTCCATTTCCATAATTATTTCCAATACTGTATTCATATACATATATTTAGAAAATATGTACTAGATTTTAATTTTTTTTTTATTTTTAAAAATCTAAAAAAAAAAAGATAAAGTTTAAGTGGCAAATTTTGTAATCTTAATTTTAAATTTGTTATTATCTATGTTTAGTATGCACTTACATTATGTATATAAGCAGATTAACTGCAAAACTGAAGAAAATATTCATTGCTTAGTTCGTATTAATAAATGTGAGTTTGATAATACATTATGATAACTCAACACTCATTTAAATGATATTGATGAAGGTTCTTAGAACATCAAATGTAATATATACATGTTTTAACTCCACTGAAAAAAACAAAGGAAACTTTTAAGAAGTGTTTATGTGTTGTCTTCTAAAATGGAGGATGTGTTTCGACACAGAGCATGACAGTATGTACAATGTGATTAGTATTAAACTTTCCAGCATCATTTAATTTTTGTATGTTTACTGTCATGCCCTAACAAAAGAAAAATAAATATTTGGTGAAACATATAACACTGGGAAGGCTCAACTACTTCTACAGCAAAAAAATAAATAACACCATGTCATGCATTCCAGGGATTTTTTTTTTCTGTTGTAATGAACATCCCAGACTTCTTAAACTGTTTTATACAATAAATATAACCAACTAAAACCAATAGCAAGCAAGCCCCATGTTGTCCAGCTGGTGAAAAGCAAGGTCTTGGGAGAATCAGTAAAAACTAATAAGGATCCATTGACACTACTATTAAATGAAGAAATGTTGGGATGGCTGTTTGAGAAGTGCGGGTTCACAAAAAACAATTACAGGAAGAGAGTCCACATGACTACTGGAATTTCCATGCATTTCTAGTGGGAATACAAAATATGTGTTTAATAAAACAAATACTTACAGTATATGAACTTTACCATGTATATTTATTCAAAAAATAACATAAGAAAACAAATGCCAAAAAAAGTATGCATCTTGACATTTCGTTTTTCACTAAGGTATCAATCTACATAACAAAAGCTTTATTTGGTTAGCATTTGAAAAGTGATTTCATCAGTGGCTAAGTTCTCCAAAACCTCTAAGGATAAAAGGCATTTCTAAAGTCATTTTATATGAATCTGATTTTAATAAGTAAATTTAAAACTTGAATTGTTGAATATAAAAGCTGAAATAATATTCACAGCTATAAACTATATTTTAAAGTTTTATTAATTCATAGACAAAATATTAAATAATAAAACATTTCTTTATGATATGCATGTGTTATGGATGTGGAAGAAACAGTACACACATATACAAAGGAGTGAGTCATTTGAGTAAATCTACAAAAAAAATTTATACATTGCTTCTCCTCTACTTTTTCTTATTTTAAATAACAAAAACCTAATCAGTTACTTTTATTTCAACATTTACCTACTATTACTTAAATGATAACACAACATGAAATAAAACAGTAATTCAATAAAAGTTGTTTATGTTATAAATATAAGTTGAATTTTTATAACTTAAAGTGGAAATAACACCTTAAATGCTATTAATCAACTCACTCTGCTGCACTTTCAGGGCCTCACTTCTCCACTTATTTATAAGCTATAATTCAGTATCTGAGCATATCGGCACCTTCTAATTGATGTGTTAGAATCAAAATAAATTATTGAAGTGCTTACTATAGCTACAAAACATGCAAGTACTGAAATCATTATCATTTCACCTGATAATATTTTAATTAGATTTGTTTCATTGTTATTATTAACTTGAAATTTTGTTACAAAGAATACAAGTTTAAGGCTATATACCCAAATATGGTAAATGGCATGTTATAAACTTTAAGAAAATAAACATGTAAATAATAGGTGATTTGCTATCCTAGAGGCAATGAACAAATAAACACTGAGCACAAAACCACTTTACCTGTTCTATCAGCTAGATGAAGACATGGTGAATCAAGCAGAACCGTAGGACCAGACAATAAAATTCACAAGCATTAGGATCAGTATTGAGCATATATATACAGGATTAGTAACAATCATAACACAGCATCAATGTTGAACAATTAATAACTATAGTGATATGTTAATCAGCATAATATTTCACTTAAAAAAACTGATAAATAAACTGAATACATTATCAAAATGAATGAAAATATGAAGGTCAAAAGATAATTATTTTTTTGGTGATTAATTTACTCATATTATCAAACCATGGACATTCATGTTGGGCATCTGTTATAAACTCATGAAACATATGTTAGTTTAACAAGATATCAAAACAGTAATAAATACAAGAAAAGTCACATGTACAAGTTACAAACACAGGGAATCGATAAGCTTTAAGCTTGAGATTAAGTAAACAAAATGGAGTGCATTCAAAACAAGAACCAATTATCAAACTCAAACTGATTATTAAGAAATTAGACAAACAGTACAAAAAGTGTTATCACAACACAGTTAATGACAAAAAGAAAATTATTCACATCAAAATAAGTTTGAAATATATTAATCTTGTTACATTAAGATTGTTGTAAGGAAGACATTACATTTTAATAGCAAATATTCAAACATAAAATAATATAATAACTTAGTTAACTATTAACATATATTATATATATATATTCTTTTGTTTAATATGTTGCTTCATTATCAATGTCTGAAGCATATATTTTCATTCAAAATCACATTTCAATTTACTTCACCTAGTTGTTTTTTGAAGTCATTATACTGCTGTTTCCCCTTGTTTTTCTAAAACACTTATATGCTGAATCAAACAAGCTAGAATAACTTTGTAGTCCATTATTTATTATCATTTTTGAAGTTGCATGTAAACATATGCAAAAAAATATTATCTCATATCAAGCCTAAACTTTTCACAATGTATTCAGCTTAATGCTCAAATTGGACTAAAAAACTGTTATAAGCATCTAAAGAGGAATGTTTCCAATCAATAAACATTAAATTCTTAACAAGTGCTGCTCTGTGATGAATAGTAAATATGGTCACCTATGAAATATCATTCATACTGTTGTTGTGTTGACTAAACAATTATTTCTTCACTCAAACATATTATCATACAAGATGATAAAATCTATCGAGTCAGGTGAGCACATTCTGAAATTAATAAAAAAATGTGTGTGAAATGGTCAACACTGGTAGCCTAGAGGAAAACAGAAACTGGTAAATAAGTCAAGTTCTTTACATATATCTAAAGTAGAAATCTCTTTGCACACATTATACAGCACCTGCTATACATATATTTATGGACAAACAAAAAGTTGTCAGATGAAAGCATAAACAGTGTGTATGATAGTCACACAGTACAAACACATAATGTAAATTATCATGGGAAATGCTGAGATACTAATTGCTTACTTCCATGGTTACCCGAGTCACTAGTCTTTCTTCGTACTAATAAACTAGGTTTTTCCTAAAAAATAATGAAATGCTACTATTACAGGAAAAATAAAAAAATATTTTTGCCAGCATACTGCTTTAATTACAGAGTGCTTAATGTACAAAATAAATGGTTACACAAAAGGAGAAAAAAAATTATAATCTCTTACTGTTCAAACTAATAAATATGTAAAAACAAAACATCTGATAAGTTAATACAGTACATTTCATACATAACATATATAGTGAGCTTATCAGGTCTCTGGATTTTTAATGGTGCATTATATATGATAAAACAATAAGAACTAATTTCAAATTTGTCTTTTATAATAGGAATACTTTCTTACTAAGAAAACAGTAGTAATGATCCTATTTTAACTTGTTTAATAGTTTGTTGTATTTGACAGGAACAGTTAACAATACGAAAGCATCATACAACAGATATAAAGGAACTTTTACTACCTAAAGAAGAATAGTAAGTTTTTTCTATTTTAACTAAATTTATTGTACTTTAATGATTTCTCTGATTAATCTCAGTCACACAGATTGTCTATAAATCAGTAATGGTGTAAAAGAATATTACACAACTTCACATAATTTTAAACATGCTTTATTTGTTATTTTACCTCAACTTTTAAAAATATGCAACAAGTTAGTCCTGTGAAGGTTTAAGTTAAAGTCACAAGTTTTAATCAATGAAAAACATGTGTATATGGCATTTTTCAGGATATCACAAATATAAACAACAAAAACTGTAAACATCATAATATATATTATACATCACTTATGACTGTGTTGTATTTTTGACATTTTATTTCATTTGTGTATGTTTTGTCTTTGCAAATATGTGGATAATTTTCACCTCATTATTTTGTGGTGCTGATTACATTCACCTACTTACACAAGATGTTGTTAAATTCATATTTTGAGTATTTATTACAAATATACCACAAATATATCTCATGATGATCCTACAATTTCATTAAATTAGATGTAAGTAAAAAAAGTGAAAAACCTTCTGTATTAAGTCATTTTTATTAAGGATTATGAAGAAGGAAAAAAAAAGAACATAATCAAGAATACTTAATTGAGATGACTAAATAATTATTTGTGTATATATCACACTTGTATACTGATAAACAATGAACAATAACTCTTGTTTGCTGTGACACATGATGACTGAAAAGAAGTTATTAAACGTACAATAACTTGATATAACAAAAATTCTACATTCCATTTTTTAACATCCATCTCTTTTGGCATCTGCTAAATAGCTTAATATTTTCAGGAAAAAATACGCAAAAGTGAATTTTTAAATCTCAATCGTGAGCCAATCCCAGTGCTACAATATTGTAATATAACAACTGTTACGACAAATTATATATTCTTGCTTAAATTCATGAACAGTACATTTACACATTTTATATATTTTTTCATCAAACTCATTCACACATATGTATATTGAAGGAAGAAAGGTTGCACGTAATTAATACGATTAAATACAACAAAAAATAGTCTCATCTACTCAAGTACAAACTACAAACAAATCTCTAGGACTTCGATAGTCTACTGTGAAGTGAAATATAGGGTTCAGTATGAAATATTTCAAGTTATATATAATCCATCCTTAGAAATACATTCATCTTACCGTCCCAAACTTGTGAAAGACAAGGTACTGTTCAGCAGTTGGATGCATGCCCACTGTTTGGAGTTTCCAGTTCATAATCTAAAATTTGAAAATAATATTGAATAATTTGCTTAAATATGCATCATATGTCCTTGTAATCTTATTTTGAGCCTTACTTGTTTCTGAATCATTGTCTTGGTAACTTTTTCTGCAGTTTTTTAACTTCACACACTGAGAATGTATAAAAAGAATTAAAGTTTCTTCTTCATTACTTGTTTTTTTTTAATCATTAAAGCAACTTTGGTCAACTAGAACAGAAAACAACAAGTGACTTAATGTTTCCTTTTAACATGACAAATTCTTTAAAGAATGGCGCAACAGCTAAAAGTTAAGAATTTGCTATAATCATTTAGGTCAGAACTAAAACAGAAAACAAACATATTTGGAGAAGCGCACAGCAATATAAGTTAAAAATTTTCTTTAAGCATAGCAACCTTTTTTGAAAAAGCATGATGTAGGAGATTGAGCATCTTAAGTATCATAACTGTTGTAAACTGAATCAGTGAAACAACAGAAGACTGTTTTTCTTTAAATTCCTTACAGAAATTTATATTGTAGTTATATGCACCTTAGAGCGAAACTGTGCAGTCATCTCATACAATGATTAAGCAAATTCACAAACTATGTATGTAGCATGAATGATAAACTGAATGCATAAAACTGAGGAATGACAAATTTCTTGATCGAACTGGTGTATTTAAGTGTTCTACATTCACAAAAAAGAATCTATCATTCTATAGGTATTT